AATAAATGAAGGAATGAATGGTCTGGGGGCCCACTGAACACCACTGTGTATTTGCATAGCATTTAAAAGTTTTCCAAACATGGCCACATCCATTCTCATAGTGATAATATCTGTGAAAAGCGGTGTTGAGATTGTCCTGGGAGCATTGCTGGACGTATGCACCTCCCGTGCTGTCACCTTCTCTTCTGTTCCCTCTCATTTGCTCTCTGACACATGGAGAGGGGCACATCAGGACCAGGCCAGTGCACCCTCCTTGACGTTTCTGAAAGGGGTGCCACGTCACGAAGGATGCTCCTGTGACAACCTCTGGGAGAGATGACTGGGCAGTTTTTGTCCCAGAGACAGTTGTCTTTCTTCCGGGTGATTTCCTTAAATTCCATGTACATTGCAAATTGTGTGGCTGCTACAACCTCGGGCTTTGCATCCCCTGCCAGGCAGCCTGGAGCCCTTTGGAGGTCCCAGGGCTGGGGGAAGTCATGGTCTGTGTTTTTAGCTCCTTTTAGCTTCTCCTTCGTCCCCACCCTGGTGTCCTTTTCTTTCCACTCCATTTAAAAATGACCCTCTGTCATTGTAATTCACGGATTCCTGCAAACCAACCTAGCTCCCTTTTGGAAGGAGGGAGCGTATAAGCGTTCACTGGGGAATTTCCAGTATGCCGCCTATGGGCCGTGAAGAGAAAGGATCCTGACTCTGAACAGGGTCTGTTCTCCTTTCAGATTTTTTAGGCCGGACGGAGATCCGCGTGGCAGACATCAAGAAGGACCAGGGTTCCAAGGGTCCAGTCACCAAGTGTCTCCTGCTGCACGAGGTTCCCACAGGAGAGATTGTGGTCCGCTTGGACCTGCAGCTATTTGATGAACCGTAGGGAGCGGGCCCAGGGCCTGCTTCAGAGTTCCAGCCGAGCCGGCAGATGCCGTCTGCAATGGATGTTGCTTTTCTAAGACCACCATTTGGTGTTCAGCCACAAGGCGACAGGACAGTGAAGAAGGGCCCCTTAATGATTCTAGGAATAATTCTCGACAATCTTCCCCACCCCAGACAAATTCCCATTTTACGAAACAAAGCTCTGTTTCCTTTGTCCTCACTTCAGGTCTCAGCACGGCTTCTAGGGTCTTTGAAACCCCGTAGCTCCCAGCTAGGTTTGGTTGGGAGTCTGGCCCGTGCCTGAGCTTGAGGCATGGGTCTAGTACCTGTAAAAATAGATTTATAAATGCAATTCTGTGTTTTTGGAGAACTCATATCCCCCTCCTATTTCTTACCTCTACCAGCCCCCAGTAGGCCCTTGACCTATGATGCCTAATCCTGGGTGTATTTAGAAAAAATTATGATGGTCCTGCCATTGCTTTAGAATCTCGTCTCCACACTGGGACCTTATTTGAAAGGCTGCCCTGGGTCTGATCACTCGGGCAGGTGGTGTCCTGATGGGACACCACACTAGCTCTTTAAAGGGCTGGTCCATGGAAGATTCTAGCAGCTGTGTTGTTACAGCCATTCTAGTCCCCTCTAGGTCTTATATTGATAGATGTGGATGAAAACTATCATGGGCTTCTATCAGGTGATTTGATTCTGATTTCCAGCGTAGGTGGAAGATGATTAAGGAAGCTTGTTATCTACAGAGTTATACTCTGCTGGATCAGATCATAGCAGGTCACCTGAAAGGCTACGTCACGACGTCATTGGGTCCCGGTTGCCGGCCCTGTTGGATAACTCTCTTTTGGCTTGGAGGTCCTGTGATCCTTCATGACGAGAGTCGCTGCTGGTGACCAGCTCTGAGCCTCTTTTTGCTTAAATGGCCCGCATCCTGACTGTCATGGGAAATTTCAGCTGCTGTCTTTGGTACGTTCCCTTGGGTTTTCATCCCCAAGGTATGAAAAGGAAAAATGACAATCTGGAAGCGGGGTGGAAACATGTGAAGGAAATCCATCACGTGGTGGGGGAAAGACCCCAGGAACATGCAGCTGCACAAGTCTGCGGAGGAAGACCCAAGACTGCTCCCTCCACTCCACTCCACACAGCCACCCTCTCGCGAATGGAGATCCATGTGCTTGTTGCTAGTCAGGAGTGTGTGACCACGTGCCAAGCGGTCTGGTGTGAGTTCTTTGGTTTTTTTGCCCCCCCTTAAATGCCATGAGATAGGCTGGGTAACTAGTTCATAACTTGATTTGCTAAGGAAAAACGTGGGTCATTCTTTGTTTGTACGTCAATGTTCGCATAACCCCTGTTAGTTGTGGTCATGAAATGTTCTTTGCATGTTCTCTTGGTACTGGAGTCTAGCTTCCCTGTGGTTGATGGTATTCTCTTTGATTGTAGGTCCTTAGAAGTTAATTAGGGTTGTAGAAGTGCTTTATAAATGGTAGCATCAACATAGTGGCCGAGCACCCATGTTGTCGGGAACTGAACGCATAGTGTCGCGATTTCCCAGAAGAGCCCTGCCATATTTCAAGCAATTTAACAAATGTGTATGTTGGAAAGGGCAACAAAGTTTACATTTCATACTTAAAAAACAAACAAACCACTTTATTATTTATTTATTGAAGCTAGTGTAGAATTTTGTATCAAGAACAACAGACATACGTATTTTTTGAAACAAGCAGATGTACCCTTTAGTTAGAAACTTTCAACTGAACACATGACAGACCAAGTTCAACTTCAAGGCATGCATTTGTTTACCACTTCATAGGAGAAAACATGGTTAGAATAATTTAAGTTTATATTTTTTGATGTTGTTAAGAAACTGTTTTAAATTAAATCTATAAATAGACGTACAATTCATGCTTTCCTATTTCTATAACCAAGACAGTTTGTTCAGTGTATTTATGAAGGACATGTTACTGTGGTAGAAAAAAGTATTCAGTGTGTAACGGGGTGGTATTGAGTCACCATTCCATCCCCTTTCTTTCTGTTCTCCCTCTTCATAGACTTTCTTTGCGTGTCAATGTTGGGCATCATTGTCCCTGTAGGTAGGGTATGGTGTGTACAATGACAAACGTCTCGTCACCCTTTTAGGTCTACCAGGTCACCCACTTGCAGAGCCCCATTATCAGAATTAATGTAGCATGCAAAGCACTAGGTGAGTCTTTTTCCCACAAGTGACTACCCTGAGCATCCTGAGATGCTCCTGCAGAATCCTCCTGGATTAGCGTCCTTGCACTCACTGGTGTAACGTGTAGGGTGACCGGTCATCCTTCCGGATGAGATAGGCTGGCTCTCAGATCCAGCTGTGACTCATGACTCGTGTCAGGGGTAGAGGGAGGTGGCTGATGCATGGAGCCTCACGCTCTCTGGCCTCTCTCTTCTTTCACTTCTGTCTTTTTGGCTGCCTGGGCTAAGTGTCACAGAGACAAAATGTCCCTTGCCAATAAGCAATCTGTCACCTAGCTCTTTGCTTTCTCAAGACAGGGTTTCTCTAGGCCTCTGGATCCTGGCATTCTGTCCCCAGCCCTCTGCCCTCTTCTCTGAGCCGCCTTGACCTCTAACCCAGCCAGGGGCTTTTCTACTTACAGGGCTGTGCCCTGACAGGAGCCCTTGAGCTGGGGCTTTGTAGACCAGCAATCCTGAAGGGACCATCTGTATCCTAGTCCCTCTGGGGCAGCGTTTCTGGGTGATATTGTCTTTCCTTGCACACAGGTAGGATGTGTCATCTCCTGGGGACCAGGCCTGCTATGACCATGAGAACCTGTAAGGTGTGGTACGTTCAGATCCAGGGCTGGCCTGCCATGGGAGAGAGGGACCTCTTTAGTCTAGGGACGCTTGAGAAACTAGGGCCAGCCTTCCTTGTGTGATTGCTTGGATAACTTGTCCCTGTCCTCTGATGACAGAGGAGAAAGCTGTGCTCCCAAAGAACATTAATGTTAAACAGGGTATTTTTTTTCTTTTTTTCTTTTGGGACAACTTAAGCATGACCTACCTGTATTTCCCCATGTATAAGATGCACCTTAATTTGGGGGCCCGGAATTTGAAAAAAATGTATTACATAAAGTTATTGAACTCAAGTTTTATTCATCATAAAATTCATACAACTCCCCATCACTTGCGGGAAATGCAAGTAAAAAAACTACAATCACTGTATAAGATGCACCCAGTTTTTAGACCCCAAATTTTTCGAAAAAGGGTGCATCTTATACATGGGGAAATACGGTAAGTATGGGAAAGTAACTTTTATCTGGTTGAGTAGTACTGGATTTAATTTCTTATTTTCCCATCAGAAAAATGGATAAATTGACTACTTGCATTGTGTCTTGTCTTGGTGACCTGGTACCCAAACCCCAGGTGTCCTCTGGGATGGGAGTGAGGTTAGGTCAGGGAGATTAGGTGCTGGGGCCACCAGGGAAGGACAATTACAGGTCTGTTGTCCAAGGCTGGGCAGGTTGGCTATCTCTCCAGCAGCTGACTGGGGCAAGCATAAAGCACTGACCGTACAGAGTGGGGGCGTCTTAGAACCTGAAGGGGCTGGAGAACAGGAGAATGGATAAGGTACTCCTGGTTTTATTTGAATGGTGGAGATCTTGGAGTATATTTTAGAGCTTGCCAATACCTTGTGTGAGGAGAAGACTTCTTTATGCCTACTCCAGATAGTTTTTTTCTGGTTGGTTGGACCTTTTTGATTCAAGAAGAAAATTTGTTTTGGGTATGTAGCAATTTTAGGAATTTCCATTGGAAACAGCAAGTACGTTTTTCTTTCCTTTTTATTATTTTATATTTTTGGCTCCCTTCTCTTTTGGGACTGAAGATGAACTTTACAGCAGACACTAGCACGTTGGAATGGCCAGCTGCATGCTTTAGAGGGAGCAGGGTCATTTCAGACTTGAGGGGAGTGTGAGGGTAGCAGTGGGTCAGCTTGCTCCGATGTGCTTGTTTTACAAGTGGAGAGCCTCCTATGCCAGAAAGTGAGACCATGAAAATAAACGGGCCTGTATGGTAGGTATAGGAGTGTTAGCGCCTACCAGGCAGAAGCATAATCGGCAGCACCAGAAACCCGTGACTCCGTGAGGCCCTTGGACCCTGTGGCCTGAGGCGCCCTGAGAGGTATTTGGTAAAAGCAACACCTTTTCTCTTTGCACCCTGGGTGCTGAAATACCTGTGGGGCTTCTCCTTACTCCTGGGAAAGGCTCAGTTCAGCTGCCAAAACTCAAGACTCACCTGGCAGTGCCCCAAGCCATGTTGTGTGGGGCCACTTAGTATTGTCTAAATAGAGTTGGAATGTCTATTTGAACTAGAGGAAAGGAAAGTTCTAGAACTACCACATTGTATCAGATCCAGGATATATTTGTAAGTCATTAGGCTTGACTAAAGTATATAACCTGGTATCTTTAGGAGCCAGAATCGACTCCTGATAAACATGGAAAACATCTCACTTGAAGGAGAGAAAACATCTAACAGCTCTTTATCTCGGGAGCATTAAAACCCAGATGCCAACACATTGGAAAGTCTTATCTCTGGGTTGTGATCTCCTCCTAACCTGGTCAATAATGCTAATAGTTCATCCAAGGAGTCCCCATCCTGGGCCACCGGGATGAGAGGTGATGAGGAGAGACCTGCCTCTGTGGCATTCATGGCCTAATTGTAGATCTAATTTTAAGTCATGGAAATAACACCCAACACCTTGTAAAGATTCATCTCCACCTCCAAATAATGATTTCAGTGACATGCAGATTCAATCAGTTCCTCCCTCTTTACTCTGGCTTTGGGGAACCAGGTAAATACCCACATGATAATTTTTTCGACACTATGTGTGGTTGCCGTGTTTCTGTTTTTAATAGGATTCTGCTCTACTTTCTATACCAGCCTATGTTGTTAATATCATCTGAATAGTGTGACTATTTTAGTATTCAAAGCCCACCAAGTAAAACTGTTTAGAAGTGGGCTTATTTGGCCAGCCTTGAAAAACTTGAGGGTTTCTCTGATATTTACGGAGCATTAACTAGTAACCAGGCTTTCTTTTTATGCAATGGTAGGAATGCACATTCTTCTTCTAGGAACCCTGGTTTTGTACTTTTATCATTAAAAAAATTCCTGTGCGGCTGTGTTTCTAAACCTATGTTCCTTTGCATTTCTCCTCTTGTACTCAAATCCCTTGTTTTCTCTTGTTTCTGTATCTAAACAGAACGGGGGCCTAGGGCAAAGGGGGTGACACAGAATCCAGAGGAAGGGTGGTAGTGGTTTTTCAGCAGCTGCCTTTCTACCCATTGACACCACAAGGGGGCAGGCTCCCTGTTGGAAATTTGTAGGTCCGGCTGGCAGGCAGATTCCAGGCTGCTGGCTCCACCTACCGCAGCTCCAGGGCACTGCTCTTGGGTAAATCACAGATCCAACTTGCTAGTGGCCTGAGACTGAAGGCAGGAGAGGGGAGGAAGTTAGTGGTGGCCATAGGACTCGAAGCCAGCATTCCTGGGGTACCTAGTGACACTTCGCCCTTCCCTGCTGTTGGCGTTGGGGCTTCACCAGGGCCCTCAGCCTTCCCACCTTTTCTGCATCTGATTTGTTGAGAGCCCCTGAGATCCAGCCCAGCCAGGGCCTCAGGTGTAAGTTGAAGGTGTTCCCCACTGCTGGGCTGATCTCCAGGCGGGGCAGCTGGAGTTGGCTCTAGCTTCCCAACAGGGTTCTAGAAGTCAGGTCCCCTCTATGTGGGCTGGATAACAGAGTCCCTACTGGGAGACTTTGACTTCTGGAATTTCAGATGTGAGTTGCTGTTGGGGGATGCAGAAGCTCACCGGAAGATGTGTGTGTGTGTGTGAGTGTGCGTGTGTGTGTGTGTGTGTGTGTGTGTGAGTGAGTGTGCGTGTGTTTACGTGGGCACCAGGGAAAATGGACAGATATGTGACCTGAACAGGGAAACAGATTGGTCTGAACTTCCCATATTCCCTCTCAGGACCTGCTACAAAATAATTTGTTGGCTGAGTGCAGAATTATTGAGCATTTCAAGGTGGTGACAGCAGAGAATTAAACCAAGCGTGGGCCCTTCTAAGCACATGGTCCCATGTGCCTGCGCAGGCCATACACCCACGGAGCCGGCCCTGAATACACTGTATTTTCAGTTGATTCTTGAAGCAAGTGGGGCTTCATTGACTTCTTACTTTGTCCAAAGTAAGTAAGTCTTACTTACTTCTTAGTCTTCTTACTTTGTAAAGTCTCCCTGGCAGGCTATGGAGAGCCGGGCTTATATACTTTTCAGAATGTCTGCTTTTATTTCATAAGAGCACAAATGGTCTGCACTAACCAGAGGGGACAAGACCCAAGCCCCTCGTTGGCAGATGCGCCTGGAGGCGGGAGAGGGAGCTATCTGCCCGGTCTCTGGGCTCCCAGTCCAGGTCGCGCCAGAAGGCGCCAAGAGGCCTTTGAGCTTTCACCAGTTAACTCATTAATTTGAAACAAAACCCTTCCTTTTAGTCTTTAGTCACCCACTGGAGGCTTTCGTCCCCTTTCCTGGTAGGACAGACAGGCTTTTCCAGCCTCTGCCTTCAAAGTGACCATCCGGGTAACAGGGAGGGTGGGGGATGTGTTCCGTGCCCCTTCCCCAGGGCCTGGACACTGGTTCCTCCATTGCCACTCCCCAGAGAGAGACAGTGCTTGGAGGCAGCTGACTCCCTGCCCTGGCTGGGCCCAATGGTCCCCAGACATCTGGGGCACCTGCTTCTGAGAGGCAGCGACTTCTCAGCTGGGCTCTCCCCATAGGATCCCAGTTATGGCTTTTGAGTAAGGTGATGTCAGGAGAGAGGAAAAGAGCCCACTGTGTGAGTAGCCTCATGTTCTAGAAGACCACAGCTCTTGGAGGTGGATGGTCATGGTTCTGCCATGTGCTCGTTGTTGCTTTCTTTCACAAGCTTTTTCTTGAACTGGGCTGGACGCTCCAAAACCTTTGTGGTTCTTCTTGTTCTTTGCAGCTCAGTCTCATTTCTACACCCACAGAGCAATAACCCTGTCTATGTCTCTTGATTCTCTCTGGGATTATAAAGTTTGTTAAGTCAAGACATCGATGGGAAGCTGAACAGAAATGGCAAATTCATCTATGGATTTGTGTCAGTTTGAACGAAATAGCAAATTGTAGCTTTGTTTCTACGTGTAATGAATCTTTTAAGCAACTGAAAGTTCAGAAAGCGTTCTCTAGAGGCATTTAATGCATATTGTCAGCATTCGTTTTCATGAACAAACATTTTGATGTACATTTTACAAATCGACATCCTCAAAATGTCATCTGCTAAATGTTCACTGGGTCGGAAAGCAGATAGTCCAGGAAGATCTTTGGTAGTGATATTTATCTTTCCACGTGCATTTAAAACAGACATTGCCAATAGCCCAAGTGTCTTGGAACAGTGAAACCAACTATCAGATCCTGTCCTCTGAGGCCCCAGCCAGCTGAAGTCTGCACCTTCCTGGCCCCTTCGTCCTCCCCCTTCTTAGCCCTGCGGAGATAGAGGAGTTGGCAATCATATAATTCATGCTGTATTGCCTTACCTACATTAGCTTTGGACCCTCACACCTATAGGTGGTCACCATATATGTAAATACATGTATACGGATGCGACGTCTGCAACAAGACTGTCCCATATGGGATCATCAGCCCTCAGCTCCTGGTTTCCTGCCTTTAATGCAGTTTCCAGCTAAGAAAAATACAAAATTCCACTACATCAAGTGAAAAAGTTGTTCTCTTTAAACAGTTTGTGATGAAATCTCTGCTGTATGTTTATGGGAATGTCCATGACTAAATGTATATCTGGTATGTAAGAGGCTGTGCTGTTCAATGTTGCGAAAACTAACAGATTCTGTAGTCAAAAATATTTAACTTGTTACTGTAAAATGTGATTTGTCATTGAGAGATTATTTTTCTGTATGTATATGAGAGTATTTAGGTATCTAATTTAAGTGCATAAAACTATAGAAAAAGATTTAAAAACCTATTCCAGAAGTAGGAAATGCTTAAGTAATCTGACTTCTGGGTCACCCTTTACTGTTCTCTTTCTGGGTAGATCAGTGCATCCCTT